GAGGTCTGGTAGGAATGTTAGGAGGGACACCCCCCCCCCCCCCCGCCCAACAAAAAGGCCGGGGGGGGGGGGGGGGGGGGGCTGCACACTGATCACAGAGGAAATACTCTGCAGGCTGATGTGTGTAAATGCGCATTAATCGTCAGAACAACGTTGTTGTATTTTTATTTTAAGAGGTGGACTATCACTTTAAGGGGCCTATTCATCTGATGGCCATTCGCACGGCATTACAGCCACTAGGCAGCGCCGAAGAGCAAAGGTGAAACTCCAGGCTCCCCTCTAAGGGATCGTGTTGGTGCAGATGACAGCTGTCACAGAGAATGATGGGAAATCCAAATGTGTTACCGGACCAGGAAAAGAGGGAAAGTCATCCAATGGGGACACCTGTCTACGAGGGGGTTTCCTGCACGTTGGATAGATTTCCTCCAGCTTCTTTTTGTGAAAACAGAACAGGAAGTGAGAGTAAATCTCTCCACAGTGAGGGAAAATCCCCTCTTGGTTTTCACCAGACAAATGGGGACACTTGTTCTGGTGACAGCTGACTTCCTTCACATTGGAGAGATTTCCTCTCACTTCCTGTCATGAAAACAAAACAGGAAGTGAGTGAGGGGATATCCACAAAGTGGGGGGGATTTCTCCTCTTAGACAGTTGTCACCAAGACAGGTGTTCCCATTGGGCAATATCTGCCCCCCCCCCCCATTCCTGGTCTGGTGATCGGTTGTGATAATTTTTCCGTGTATCCATAACGACCATTAGCATGTAATGAGGTGCTCGTCAGTAGATGGCGACACTTAGTTTTTCACCTCGCCCCCCCCAAAAAAAAAGATCCTTTCGTAGCAGCTGGAAAAGTTATAGATATCTCTGGCAGGGCAGATTTTTGGCAGATGTACCCCTCTATGGGCAGTCTGAGGTGATCCGACGAGGTCGGTTGCTATGGGTTACCGCACACTAATCCAACCCTTCCCCACCGCAGGCCGCTCTCTGCCCCCCTCCTTACATCGTATGGTGTGGAATCCGGCCCGCGGTTGCTTCTCGAAGCTCTCCCCGAGTTTCAGCACTCGCTCCTTGCTGTCAAACATAGAACAGGCCGCACCATTCATCCCTGCGGGCCCCGGCTCCAACCATCTGCCTCTGCCAGCCAGCGACACCACACGCCAAACACTAGGAGGCGGGGCCCGGGAGTACGGCGGGTAGCTATTGGTGCCTGGGAAGATCGGACTGCCATGATTCGCTACTTGGATACTACGTCACCACTTAATTCCGCCCTCTTTACCTGTTGCTGGAAAAGCTGAGTAAAAGATTTCTATTCCTAGAGGATCCACAGCCTATATATACTAATAATATGTCTTTATTACTGTCCACCGTGGCGGCCATCTTGTCGAATACCAGTGCTGTATAACTTAAGCGGAGACATCACCATAATGGCGGTCCAGAAAGGAGACAAGTCAATATAAGTAAATTAACCTCTAGTGTCCGAAAAGTTATTACCAATAGTGGTGATTCAGCCTGTTCTCCCGAAATGCAGTGCGATTGCGGCCTGGGCTGGCAGGGAAGCCGGGCTGGAGTTGTTATCCGTTGCTAGGAGACGAGGAGCTCTAGCAGGCCGGTGGCATTCAAGGGGCCAGGAAAGGGACTTTTATGGTGAGGGGACTGAGGAGGGACGCAGAGGTAGCTCGGGAGGAGATGCAGTTGTGGATGCTATGGGTTACAACACTGCTGTGGCCTAAATACATTTATTTGGGTAACAGGAAAATGGAGGCATTTGATTGGCTGCTTTAGGCAACAAAGAGGGTTTAGGTTCTAAGGGGGTCGTGGAAAAATGGGTTATGGGTTACAATAAATGAAGGGTTATGCTTCACGATGAAGGTGATCTCTGGTTGGTATGGGTTACAGACAATAGCGATCCCTGGTTAATATGGGTTGCAGGAAATTACAGTCTCTGTTTGCTATGGGTTGCAGGCAATAGAGGTCTCTGGTTGCTATAAGTTACAGGCAATAGAAGTCTCTGGTTGCTATGAGTTAAAGGCAATAGAGGTCTGTGGTTGCTATGGGTTACAGGCAATAGAGGTCTGTGGTTGCTATGGGTTACAGGCAATAGAGGTCTGTGGTTGCTATGGGTTACAGGCAATAGAAGTCTCTGGTTGCTGTCAGTTACAGGCAAATAAAGCCCCCAGGGCTTCTTGTTTTAAAGGCATCTGGAAAGAATATTCTTACTTTTCCTCTGTTATGAATCCCGAGTCCAGATGTTGTTTTTTGGTAGCGGTGTGGATTTGATTTGTCTGCGTGGCTGACCCGTTGGCTCGGTTTCGCCATCATTGCGTACGTACTCGGAACAGAATCTATTTCAAAACAGACTCTTACCCCCCCTGCATTGTTTTTGTCCCACAGAAGAGACATGAGCGAGATGACGGCAAAGCCGGTGGATTCCCGGGTGCTGGAGCTGGCGTCCGAACTGACCGAAAGCAGCAGCTGTTCAGTGCCAGTCCTGCTGCTGAAATTAAAGGGTAAGTCATCATCTCCCAGCTTTCCCGGAAGGCTCCTGATGGTTTTACATAAAGGGAACCTGTCAGGATAAATATTTCACTCATAATTGTTGACTTGTATTTAGGCCTCATTCACACGAGAAAAAGCCGGCACGTACAGCTACATGCTGCGTGCACGGCCGTATCGGGCAGCTCCCGGGAAGGACAAGTGCTGTGCGTGTGATTAGTACGCAGCCCCCGTCCTTCTCTATGGGAGTACGTGGCCATACACCCCCCCTACCCTCACTCCAAGTGCACGTCCATACAGGTGCAGGTGTCCCGGCTCAGATGCAGACAGCATCCATTCTGTCAACGTACGAGTACGGACACCCACACGGACCTGCACTTGAGGTGAGGGCGTACACGGCCACGTAATCCCATAGAGAAGGAGAGGGGTTGCGTACTAATCACACGCAGCAGCTGTCCTTCCCGGGAGCTGCCCGATACCGCCATGCACACAGCACGGAGCTGTACGTGCTCGCTTTTTCTCGCGTGAATGAGGCCTTAAAGGAGAACTATGGGGTTAGTGCTTTTCCCCATAGTTCTCCTAAGGGTAACGGGAGGACACAAACTAGCATCCTCCCGTCATCCAAAGTTCAGTATATAGGGAGCTACAGCTCGCGGTATACTGAGACGCCGCAGCTGGAACGGATCCCGACAATTCTGTCTGGATCCGCCCAGCTGCGTGAGTGACAGATGGCTCTGCCTATCTACAGGCAGAGCCAGCTGTACCCGCCTGCTCATTTTGTCTAGGGGACTCAAAGCAGATATACTCACCTAGACCTCCGGGCCCGCAGTGGTCAGTGCTCGCCTCTCTCCTTTTCCGCTCTGGTTATAGAATGTAAGTCAATGGATCTGCATAAGATGTGATGACATCAGTGGTCCTTACACTGCCGAGCCCCGGGGAGAAGGGGCTGCTGACTACCCTGGGACCGAGGATCATCTGAGCCCCCCCCCCCAGACAAAATGATAACCTAAGCCTTGCAGTGTGATGGTAGCCCCACTGCAAGGGTAAGTTTTTGAAGGTGCGAGCCATATAAAAGGGAGCATTGAATAAAGTCTCAACAATAATATTGCATCATATCAATAGCACTATCGAAATTGCATGAATGGAGTGTCTCCCTGTGTCCAGTGTAGAGCAGGGGAGGCAAATGCTGGCCCATAAGGCATTGTAAGACTCTCACCACCACAGGCATGACTCCCAGAGGCAGATTCATGATGGGGGCGGAGGGTTTGCAGTGTCACCATATTTAATGTTACATCCTGAATATGGGTGAAACAGATTATGTGGACTGGAGCAGCATTCACCATATTTATTCCCAGAGAATGTTTGCACAAGTCATTCTGAATTGAGAAAGCTGGTCGGATGACTAGTGAAACGTCTTCAAGAAAAAATACAGCAAGTCCAGTTACCTTGACTTATTTTTTACAGATATGGTAGAAAAGTTAACTAAATCTTTAAAAGTACATACTCTGCCTGCTAGCAAATGACTTATTGATCTGTCTGCCAGCATATTTTATTTAAAACAAAATTGTACACTCCATGCATCTGTAAGATGCCAAGGGCTCTGCTGAATGCCAGGCCAGTGTAACTCCAGCAACAGGGCAGGACATTGCGTCGCTGGAGGAGGGCAAGCTGAGAGGTAAGTTTGCCATAATGTGCAAGTATGCTCTGCTCCTGGGGGGCCTGCGGCGGCTCGTTTCTGCTTCTAAATGTAATGCCAGCTCTGTACTTTGCATTGACCCGTGCTGAAAAAAATATATTCTCAGCCTACAGTATTTTTTCATGCATTGAGGTGCGTTGGCAACCCATTTGTTTGGAATGCTTAACGCAAAGCAAACCTCAACGCATGAAGCCACATGCTGCTGCGCACCACATTATATAGCGGATATCGCTCTGCGCTATACACTGCAAAGTTATTCCGCACCGCTGACTGGATGTTCTGGCCCATTGAATGCAGGACACATGGGGAGCTTTCTGTGCTCCGCTTAAGGGTGCCCACATCGTACATCGAAATCCCGCCATCGTACGATTATGGTAAGGTGTGTGGAAGCCGTGCGATCTCTACTACTGTAAGGTCGCACGACTTTTAACTTACCAACATGTTCGAAAACCCGCCGAGCATCGTACGATGTTCGGCGGGTGTGTAGCATGTTCGTAAGATAAAAGCCGGGCGGACCGCTGTGCGCAAGCGCACACTGCCCGTTCGGCATTGCGGTCATCGGAAGCCCGCACCTCAGGGGGGCGCGGCTTGCGATCATCGCAAGTACGATCTGCCTGTCCAAGATAGGCAGATCGTACGTTTTTTTAAGTACCTTACAACCATCGCAAGACAAAAGTCTTGCGATGGTTGTAAGGTGTGTGCCCAGCCTAACACTGCAGAGATGGAACAATAGAGTAGAAAGGCTTTTTTGGGTTTTTTTAAGGTGCACTCATGGACATAATGATTAAAACTCAAATTTTGTATTTCTTTTGAAACTAAAATAGGTCCAAAGTGTACCTGTGTGTACATAACAACATACAAGCTAATAACAGTTCAAAATGAAAAGGTACAGACCACTAGCCTATGGTTCTTGTCTTGACACTGCAGAGAAAGCTAGAAGGGGCTGGTCACATGACTTAGACAGGTCACATGACTGGCCTTTCCACCAAGTGTTTTTTTTTTTTTCATTTCATTGTGCTCCAATTGCGTCAGTGGAGCCCAATCCATAGTTGTAAATCATCCCATTGTGCTTCATAAATGTGAGAGGCGTATTTTCTTTTTGTAACATATGCCAGCTTTATAAATGGACCCCTTATTATCAGACTGAAACATTTGTGACAGGACCGTGACAACACCGCTTGTGACCCCTTATAATGGAAAGAATAAGAGCCGTATTATACAGTATATTAAAGCAGAACTCCAGGGAAAATTATTATTTACCCTTGCAGTGCGAGGTTAGCTGTTTTGGTCTAGGGAGCAACAAGGTTATACTCATCCGATCTCGGAGCTGTATGGCTGTGACAGTGTTACCCCCCAGCCTGTCTCTTCCTCCACTCCAGCGATGGAATGTCCCCCGGTATCCTCACATTCGATACACTGTACAGGAGGTAATGTTTTACGGGACCTTAGACTGCTGCAGTGGAGGGGGAGAGGGGCTTCAGGGACCCGTCTAAGAGCCAGCTGGCTCAGAGGATCAGGTAAGTATTAGGCTGGGTTCACACCTGGGCATACGGAATATGCGCGTTTTTACCGCGATTTGCGGTAAAAGAAACGCGCGACAAACGCGTATTTCCGAGGGCTATCCGGCTGTATCCCAATGGATACGCGCGGCAAATACACCCCAAAGAAGCTCCTGTACTTCTTTGGCCGTAGGGCGTTTTACAGCGCGTTCCTACGCACTGTAAAACGCCCAGGTGGGAACCATGCCCATAGGCAATTATTGGTTTTCACATGTTGAGCGTTTTACAGCGCGTAGGAACACACTGTACAGCGCCCAGGTGTGACCAAGGCCTAATGGTATTTTCCTCCCTAGACCAAAACGAGCAAATGAGAGTGGGGGTAGCCCCACTGAAAGGGTTATTAATAATTTCCCTGGAGTTCTTCTTTAATTGTAGAAACTATAGGCTGAAGGGTGGGGGGGGCGGGTACTGGAAAACGGGGTTTTAAAATGGTGGTTTTCTTTAATGGTTATTCATTGTGTCTGCAGAGATTTTAAAAAGTGCACCCGCTGGAAGCAAAGAACTGCAGAGAATTAAAGAGGACCTGTATAACTATGGCCTCATCCAATATTGCGTGCTGGTTCAGAAACAGGACTACAGTCGGGTGAAAGGAGGCTGGACGACGGCTGCAAGCCTAGCTGATATCCTAAGGTAGAGTTCCACGTGTCAGAATGAAATGCGTTCTTCAGTAAAGTTCTGCTAATGATACTCTGTGACGGGGCCTCTCAATGGGCTTTCTACAATTGAATGTGTTTGCAGAGCTGCTGTGCCGATGTCAATGGCGCATTGGAAGCTGGAGCCGTACTTCTGAATTTATATATAGAATTTCTTACATTGAATCTATCTATTTTTGCCCTCCTCATGCACAGGATATGACTCGCGTTCCATGTCACCCCGACCCCAGTTATTATGTCATGCATTGAAAGAATGGTAATAGTACATTTGTGTCTTCACCCAGTTCCTGCTGTGTAGGACTGAATCCCAAGAATGACGCAGAAGAGTTCCGCTCTAAGATCCTGCCCTCTGCCATCCTAAACATGCTGGTGCTGGGAAGACGGATTCAGGCGAGATACGTCCGCTGCGTCAAGGTGCTTATTCCATTTTTATGGCAGAGCAAAACTTAAAACGCTGCTCAATGTATCTGATTAGCAGGAAATTCTCTACAAACAAGGAGCCCTAACATTCTTAAATTCTGATAATATGATTGTATTAAAGGAGAACTATGGGGTATGTGTTTTTCCCCATAGTTCTCCTAAGGGTCCCGGGAGGACATAAACTAGCGTCCTCCCGTGACCCAAAGCTCGGTATATAGGGAGCTGCAGCTCGTGGTATACTGAGACCGCCACACCTGGGACGGATCCCGACAATGCTGTCGAGATCCACCCAGCTGTGTGAGTGACAGCGGGCTCTGCCTATCTGGAGGCATAGTCAGCTGTGCCCGCCCCCTCCCCTGTCCGTTCCGCCAGTCAGCGCTGGAGGATCGGAGAGGGGAGGGAGGGAATCCCTGCAGGGAGCCGTGAGTGACTGTCACGGCTCTCTGCAGGGAGATGATCGAGAAGTGAGTGAGCGATGGTTTAAAGTAGATTATTGTTAACCCTTGCAGTGCACTGCAAGGGTTAGGTTCTCGTTTTGGTCTAGGGGAAAAAATGAAAGTCTACTCTCCCAATCCTCTGAGCTATGACAGCACTCCCTGCAGGAGGTCTCTTCCTGTTCTGCGACAATGATATGTCCTTCGGCATCCTCACGTCCTATACACTGTGATAGTATGAACCGCTGGCAGCTCGGTTGCTCCCATGACTCTATGTCTATAATGTTATTTATACCAATTTCCATTCATCGTTTTATAGGATGAAGAGAGGACAGGACTGTTCCGTTGTTTCAGGCAGGTGATGGATTCGCTATGCTGGCTGTTTAGCGGGCACGTGCAGCTGACAGAAAATGGTAAACCATATGAAATACTCCTGTCTGACTGTCGTAGTAACAAAGGATTACCCAGAGTTACTGTTTCCTGTTATCATTTCAGTTTTCAGACAGGAACACTTCTTGCAGTTGCTGATGACAGATGACGTGGAGACAGGAACCTCTGTGATGTCGGTTCTACAGAATATTTTGAGAGCAAACAGGTAGCAGTTACCTCAGTGTCCTAATGTAGCATAAATGTGTTTTACATATTTAGGCCTCATTCACACGAGAATCGGCCGGCACATACAGCTCCGTGCTGTGTGCACGGCTGTATCGGGAAGCTCCCAAGAAGGACAGGTGCTACATGTGATTAGTACGCAGCCCCTGTCCTTCTCTATCAGAATAAGCGGCCGTACGCCGCCCTACGCTCACCTCAAGTGCAGGTCTGTACGGTTGCGGGTGTCCGGGTCGGACGGAGACAGGATCCATCCTGTCAGCGTACGAGTACAGACACCCGAACCAGCACAGACGTGCAGGGCGGGTGAGCGTAGGGCAGCGTACGGCCGCGTATTCCCATAGAGAAGGACAGGGGCTGCGTACTAATCACACACAGCACCCGTCCTTCCCGGGAGCTGCCCGATGCGGCCGTGCACACAGCACGCAGCTGTACGCGCCGGCTGATTCTTGTGTGAATGAGGCCTTATTGTGAAGACAGCGACATGTAAGTCATAAGAAACCAATATTTCGGGGCCTCATGTTGACATAGTGACGATCACTATATTACCTTATGGAAGGGACCCCGTGCAGCCCCGTAACGTTGGTTTCTTATGACTTATGTAACGCCATCTTCACAATAAATATGTGAAATGCAGTAATTGGTGTGCTGGGGAGTTTGTATCAGTTTAAAAAAAGATCCATGTAAAGAAAAAATAATCAAATAAAACACTTGGTATCCTCTGCACCCTCAGTTGTTCCTGAAAAGGGCAAATAACCCTCATAAAGTCCAATTTATTCCCAATGGGAACTTTTTTTTCCATGATCTCCAAAGGCGATTATACTCCCTGCGACACTCACAGTCACAGGCATGACTCCCAGAGGCATATTGGGATTTGGAGTTAAAGCACAACTGGAGGGCTGGAGTTGCCCACCTCTGATCTACACTGTTATTTTTTAATATTAGTAACGTGTTATATTTTAAAAAAATTTAGAAACCCACCCAGCTCTTCTTCTTTTTTTTTTTTTTTTAAACAATTGTTAGAGTTGTCTAGAACTTTCTCCTGTAGAAGACTACTCCACGTTTTTACATCTCTTACTGTGATGATGCATTTGGGTTTTCCAAGGTTATAAGCCTCTTTTGCCCCAGGCACAAAGCATCCCTCTTTGTCCTTTGCAGTGACCCTAATGTCAATAATTTTGGACCAATTTTTCACTACATAGACCATTTATGTACTTCTGCAGTGTGGCCATATGTCCCCTTAATCGTCTCATCTCAAGGTAGACTAAGGTCAGTTCAGCCACTCTTTCCTCATCGCTGACTGCGTTGTACACTGAGTGGCCAGATTATTATGACCACCCCATCAGTACTTCATTGGGCCACGAGATGACTCCACGAGATGGTGAAAGGTGATGCGAGGAATCTGACACTGCTCTGTTGATTGGCCACTCAGTGTATGTAATAATCTGGCCACTCAGTGTACAGCAATGGATTCATTTTTGAAGCTCACTTAAACAAACAAACCTAACATCTGCGGTTGATTAATGCAACCAAAAAGGTAATCTGAGGCTTTGTTCACATCTTTGTGCCACAAGATTGTTACAGAAAAGTGCAAAAATATACGTTATGTTAGTGTGCCGTGTTGCTATTCATTATTAATGGCTCTCCAACCCACTGATTGCGCACTTCCATATCTTGTGGTGAGCCTTTAGTGTTGCAATAGGCAACCCATTCGTAGGACTGGGCTGCCTGCACGTGAGCTATCCTAGTTCAACAGTGTGAACCTAGCCTAATGACCATCTCTGGACAAAACATGATCCCCACCACATCCCTTATCCCCCCTACACACCCGAAACAATCCTGTTGAAATCGGGTATCCACTGCTTGGGTTCTGCACCACTGCCGTTTCTGGAAAAATCCACACCAACCCCCATTTTTGTGTTTTGCAGCGTTCTTCCAAGTCAGGTCCCAGAGGACACGTTGCACCCCATATTGGATGAACTTGTTTACAAGCTGTCAGCTTCGTCCAATCCCGTCATTGGGAACGCTGCTACCCGTTCGTTACTCCTCATACTGGAGTCCAGTCCGGATATTGTACGATTGGTGGGCACTCGGTATAAAGGTACTTCACCAGAATTTATTCCAGCTTTAGATACTTTCTAAAAACAATCAATCAATCAATCTGTATTTTCTCACAACAAAGAACATTTCTTTAATAGAATATTTTTTTATATCATTCTAAAAAATATTGCCTTTTGTCAGGGTGCAGAAATAGAACATACAGCCAAAGGTCTGTTGACACCTGACTATCATACCTATATGAGCTTGTTGGGTATCCCATTCCAAAACCACTGCCATTAATATGGAGCTGGCCCCTTTGTGGCTATAACAGCCTCCACTCGTCTGGGATGTTGGAAGAGAAGACCTGGCTCGCAGTCAGCTTACCTTTCATGCCAAATGTGTTCAGTAGGGTTGAGGTCAGGGCTCTGTACAGGACACTCAAGTTCCTCCACACCACGCTGGCCAAACCATGTGTTTACGGAGCTGGCTTTGTACACAGGGGACAGTCATGGTGGAACAGAAAAGGGTCTTCAGCAAATTGTTATCACAAGGTTGGAAGAGCACAGTTGAATACAGTGTCGTTACCCATCTCTGGAGACACCTGAATTTGATCATATAGGTAGGTGTAATGGTCAGGTGTCCATACTGTGCGTATAGTGTATGTGTCTATGTATGTATGTATATACCGTGTTTCCCCGAAAATAAGACAGTGTCTTCTATATTTTTTTTCTACATTTTTTGGGGTAGGTCTTACTTTCGGGGAAACACGGTATGTGTGTGTGTATAAAAAGTTTCATGTGTGGCACCCATTTAAAAAAAAGATTGTTTTTGGTGTGGCAAAAAGGTTGGCATTTTATTAATAAGGAGAAATCTGCCTCTGAAATGATGCATCCAAGACACAGATCCCCCTTCCTGCCAGAGTTCTGCAGTCGTACACTGTACAATGTTTAAAACATTTATTAGGAACTCGAAACGCTGCAGTGAAAATCTGTGCACTCAGCACCTGCAGTTAAGTACTCTGGTCTGGATGTTTCTGTAGTGGGAGGATGAAACAAAACCGCGTCTGATCTGTTTGTAACTGTTGCAGTGCAGAGTGGAGAGTGGGAGCGCTGTCAGCATTTTACTGCAGAGGAAAACCCTAATAAAGCTGAAATGTTGTAGTTCTTCAGCTGTTACAGCATGTCTGGCAGTCAGTTGTTACTACATCTACAGCAGACCTTGCAACTGTTATAATACAGCAGACACAATATAGTCAGAAAGCGTATTTCCACTTTTGCAGCCAAATTGGGATAACACCTTATTTATATTTGTTCTGTTCTCATTCACGTAGTGTACATTTAAAACAATTGCTGCTTACATATTACTTATAATGTCATATAACATACTTCATATGTCACATACATATTTGATACTAGTTTTCTGTAAACTGTATTGAATGCAAGGGGGGGAGAAGGTTATTGTTTAATATTAATGTAATCCTGTTGGTACTGTAATATACCGTGTTTCCCCGAAAGTAAGACCTAGCGCTATCTTCAGGGATTTCTGTAATATAAGACCTACCCCGAAAATAAGACCTAGTTCGGTGGTAGGTCTTATATTACAGAAATCCCTGAAGATAGCGCTAGATCTTACTTCCGGGGTAGCTTCACATGTAATTGATTTTTACATGTTAAGAGCGGCCGCAGCTCCCTACCTGCCCGCCCACACAAAACGCCCCCCGCCCGCACACCTGTTTGCATCGGAGCGGAGAGCTCAACAGCTGCGGCCAGGTAAGACATCCCCCGAAAATAAGACCTAGTGTTTTTTTTCATGGAAAAAAAAAAAATAAGACAGTGTCTTCTTTTCGGGGAAACACGGTATATAGGCTAACGCATCAGCATTAGGCCCCATTCACACGTAGCGACAAACCTTTTGCAGCGGCCGGGATAGCGCGACTTTCGGGGCGACGTTCCAGAGACGATCCAGTGACGGTAGCGCGACCTTCTCCGTCGGGCTCCATTAGAAAAAAGCAAAATCGCGCAAAATCCCTAGAAAAAAGGGTCCTGTAGAAGCGACCCGCGACACGCGGCACGGAGCTAAGACAGCTCTGTTGAATATCATTGGCCGGCGACTTCTCGCGATATCGCACGGCAAAAATGCGTTACGTGTGAATGGGGCCTAAGGATCCTTTTCTTTCAGTGACTGTTCTTTTCAGTTGAGAGCCAACAGGATTTGAAAATTGCAGTCACGTGCCTGAAAATAAGGATCCTTATTCCTGAGTTTTAGGGATGCACCGATACTTTTCAGGTACCAGTGCCCATACTTGGCATTTTCATGAGAACTACCAGAGTTGCAGCTGGGACCGGGCTCTGGCGCTCCACCACTCTCCTACGGTCATTAGTCTGTATTGTTTTAGAAAAACTGTCACATGATACTAAACAAAAATGTGTCAGTACTCGTATCTGTAAGTACTTGGGCAAGTATCGGTACTTGTACTTGCAAAACTGGTATCGGTGCATCCCTTATATATATTTATAAAACCAAAATCGTACATTATAACAGAGATGTACAAATCCCGGGAGCTCCGTGTGCTTCTTACACATGACAGCTGGCAAAAATAATTTTTCTGTAGTCTAGACTTGGAGCTCGAAAAGTATCTGTACTTGTTCTTGTATCGAGTACAGTACTTGGTATCGGTGGATCCCTACAGTGAGTTTAAGTCTGGTGAATTCTGGAATATACAATTTAAGACGACACTGTAGTGGACATTCAAGTTTCTCATGGAATTGACCGATCTAATAAGTGTCCGTTTTAACTCTGCTCAGGGCTGCGATCTCTGCTGAGCAAGCAATGGACTGGAAAAGGTTTTGGCCGAGAGCTCAGCCGACTCCTGGATCTGCTTTACTCTACCTCTTACCAGCAGCAGGAGATGCAGGTAATGGACTAGATCCGTCATATGGAAAAATATAGAAAGGACTTCACTGACTGTACCATCTGTAAAACACGTGTAGGGTGACACCTTGTCAATGTCTGATTTTTACTAAACAAATATAACTACCTTGCATTGGAGAACAAAATATATAATTTTTTTTTTTTTTTATCCAAACAGTCGCCACAGTTCCTCCTTCATTCTTATTAAGTGTTATTTTTTGGTACATGAGTGCATACAAACACAGACCGCATAGAAACAACAGTTTTGGGTGTCCCCATGCTGCATCAGGTTTATAGGTAATCAACAACACATGATTCGAATACAATTGCAAACAGAAGTTATGTCAATGTTATTGGCCCAATTATCACCCACTACATAAGCACTATATGTGTGTGTCAGCGAGTGACTTACTGTCACTAGGATTCTTCAGTCTCTGTGTATATCTATATTTTAATTGGATGAATAGATGAAGTGTTACATGTAGTATTTGCAAGAGTTGACTTTTATGCATTTATCAATGAATTGTCGTAAGAAAGGGTTAAAGGTCTATATGGTCATATAGTGGGTGCTCTACAATTCACAGCATATGTGTGCATATTTGGTATCACTGCCCCAAGTTCATCTTTAAAGTAGCCCATGTAAGCTTGGCACACAAATTAATTTTTTCCTCTTGCAGTCTATTCAATTCCACTTGTTTTTCTATGAAATCCTGGTGGGAGACCTGAATTTCCTGTTTTAATGTGGCAACGCTCGCCCTCTGCCTTACAACGCAGTGGAGGTGTTGTCAGCACCAGTTGTGCGCTCCACATGTGGGACTACAGGCTACCATTCTGACACATTCTGCCCAGGACAAGTAGCAACAACACCACCGCCCCCCCCGTACAATGTCCAGAACAAGGTAGCAGCCCTTGGCCCACCCTCCACCCCTGCAGACACGGAGGCGCACAGCAAGCAGTCACATTACCACTATAAAAAAAGAAAAAGAAAAAAAAATCTCCAAAATCTAAATATCATATTCTGCAATCATTACCCAATGCCTGACATTCACCCTGTTTTAATGTTGATGCTTTAAACTCAAATACACTTTTGTCTTCCTAAAAAGCATGAACAAGTATTACTAGTGGTTTATGGCGATTGGAGCAGCTGCATTATACAGAGAACCTCTCCCACCATTATTCTGTATATGACTACGTTTTCAGTTTCTGCTTCTTTGTGGTCTCACATGAAAGTTATCTTATCTGAACAGAGACTGCACCGCGCCGCCCTCACCATTCAGGCTGCGTGGAGGGGATTCCTGGTGCGGAAGAGGGTGAAGAAGCTGCCGCGGGTGGTGACATCTCTACAGAGAAGCTTTAGGTACAAATATCTGTGAAATAATATTCCTACAACTCCCCTAGGACACAAACAGTCTGCCCATCATACGGCATCTTGTGAGTTACAGAACAGCGAAGTTACAATGAACAGCATTTCATTGAACGCTGTTCATTCTGCAGTGAAATCACATGGCAACATTGTCACCCTGCAGACGGGGCAGGAGTAAGATGAACAAGTAACTTTAAAAAGACTTCAAAGTGACATTAAACCCTCAGATTTTTTAACATAAACCAATACTGTAATGTGCGCCTTACTGTAATCCACGGTTGTTTCCCTTCTCTTTGCTGCTCTTCCTTTTAAATCCGTATCTGCTCTCATGCTGGGCAGAACTTCTGTTTTGCAGCAGACTGCCTTGTCTCAGGAATGGATATATGGTGTCTGTGTATAGGTTTGTATAGGCTTGTAACCTGAGCCAGCACTACAGGAAGAGGCCCTGAGCTGCAAAGGGAAGTTCTTCCCAAGCATGAGAAGACATGAGGATTTAAAAGGAAGAGCAGCAAAGAGAAGGGAAACTACCAGGGATTAGAGTAAGGCGCACATTACAGTATTGGTTTATGTTAAAAAATCTGAGGGTTTAATGTCACTTTAAGTTATTATTATACAGGATTTATAAAGCTACAACAGTTTGCTCAGCGCTTTACAATATAAGGAAGACATTACAATCACAATACAATTCAAGTTAGCAGCAAAGTAATTAAAGTCCAACATTTTTTTAAAGCAGTTACAGTAACTTTTTTGGGGGGATAAACATATGAATAAAAAGTGACCACTGTAAGCACCCCCCGCAGTGTTAAATGGTTTGCCCCGAACCCTGTAACTGACACATTTGTTGGACATCTTGGTCTCCAAGTCCAAAAATAAATTATAAATACATGTATGCAAAAATGAATGAATTCGTATGCTGAATATTCTGCTTACAGCTAGTCACCCCATACAGTTACCAGAATGCAATACTTTTTACAATACCGGTAGTGGGCCTTTTATTAAGTGTGTTACTTACCTGGAATAAATATACAGGACAGGCATTCTATCTTCACTGTCTGCATCCTTAAAACCTGGTCAGTAACTCGCTAAGTATTGGAGCCAGAGGATGAGAGACTGGTCACCTGCAGGTTATAAAGCATGTTGCTATTTCCCTTATTTCTAGGATGACAGGTTCTCTTTCATTTGAACCTTTAGCCCTCATTCACACGAGAAATGGCCGGCCCGTACAGATCCTTGCTTCGTGCATGGTCGTATCGGGCCGTTCCTGGGAGGGACAGGTCCTGCGTGTGATTACACGCAGCAGCCTGTCCTTCTCTATGGGAGTACGCCGCCCTACGCTCACCCGAACTGCCCGTCCGTGCGGGTGTCCATACTCGTACGCTGACAGGATGGATCCTTTCTGCGTCCGAACAGGGACCACCCGCACCCGTACTGACGTGCAGGTCGGGTGACCTTAGTAGGGCGTACGGCTGCGTACTCCCATAGAGAAGGACAGGCTGCTGCATATAATCACACGCAGCACCTGTCCTACCCGCGAGCGGCCCGATACGGCCGTGCACGCAGCATGGATCTGTGCGGGCCGGCCGCTTCTCGAGTGAATGAGGGCTTATTGTTACATATGAAAAGCTTCCTGTGCAGGGGGTGTCTAGCACCCAAGAGCACGTTGTATAAACTTGACCCCTAGGTGGCGCAGCTCACCAGCTGTTATAATCGACCCAGAGTTTTTGCTGCGGTATGAATTCCTCCATGCAGATGCAGTTTTACCTACATTTTCCAAAACCACTTCACTGCATTCATGTGCATAATCCTTAAAAACATATCCTCTTCTGTCAATAAAAGTAGTTATGCATCCTTTGGTTGGCTGGTCAGGTTATTATATTCATGAAAACTAAAACTAGTTTGGATCCAAACCCAAGTGTGAGTTAAAAAATCTTTTGTAATCTTTCGAAAACCTGCAGCTTTCATTAAAACAATCTCTTGTGATCCTGCCATGAAGGTCCTTGTTCATTCATATGTGGTTATGGGGTGACAACTGCCTCCCAGTTGTGGTCTTGTATTTGTATTGTCACCTGTCGCATGCATTCATGCTGGAGACTACGAGGCGGCTGTGCCAATGCACATTGCGCAGGTATGGTTCACCATTGTTACAATCAGTATACAGGTGAACAGTGATAAGCAGCTGATGCAAGGGCAAATGCATGTACACAGGAAGTGTCTGAAAGAGGGCAGCGGAGATCAGCAATAGTGAAATGGGAAAAGATAAAAAGAAGTGTTTTACTGGATTAAAAAAAAAAGACAATTGTAGAGTGTCCTTTAACCACTTCAAGACCAGGTGTTTAGACCCCCTTCCTGGCCAGGCCATTTTTCAGTATTCAGCGCTGCGATACAGTCAAATCTGAGGGGGCACTAATAATTTTCATTGCATGCCGCAACCGCAGGGCGCCGAGAGCTGATTTAATTGCGGATGGTATCTGCGCCTTGCGGTTCCGACATGTAGTCCAACGCCGCCCACAATCCTGAATACCGCAGCCGCTGACACCATCCGCAATTAAATCAGCTCTCAGCGCCCAGTAGGTGCAGAATACAGCAGGGGCTGACTGGCAACTTTTAGCCCAGGTGGCAAGTACAACCCAGAGGCCCATGGTGCAGCTACTTGGCCCTCGTCCCGCTCTGCCTCTTCCCCCCGCCTTCTCCCCGCCCCTGCCTGCCACTTTTGCCATCCATGTAACAGTAGTGTGAATGGTCGGGTGATGTGAGGACTCCTAGTAAGTCCATGAAAGGGGTGACAGGCTGGGGGATGTTGCTCTCCTCCCATTGAGCTCTCTACATAGTTCTGGATATTTTAAATTGCAATAGCCAATAACAGGCTGGCTACAGCACCCACCCACTGCCTGCTGTCAATCAGCAGAGGAGGGACCTGAAGTTTTCTATCAGGTCCACCTCTGTTGATTGACAGCTGGCAGTGGGCGGGTGCAATAGCCAGCCTGTTATTGGCTACTGCAATTTAAAAGAGCCAATAGCAGGCTGGCTATTGCGGTCAGCTGCTGGAAGGAAGACGATCGCAGACACCGCGGAGAGGTAGAGAGTAGACTGCGGGGGAGGGGGGGAGCTCACAGACTGTCGGAGGGTTCTCCTTACAGGCTGTGATCGACAATCTGTCCCCACTGACACAGATCGCTACAGCCTGTAAGGAGAAACCGCTGACAGTCTGTGAGAACCCCTGTCCCAGCAGATAACTGTGTGATAACCGTCCCGGGCTCAGTTATCTGCTGGGACAGGGATTCCATTTCTCTTGCCTTGCACTAGCGCCGGGACTGCTGCCACTGTTAGCGGGGGGGCACACGGTGGGGGGGGGGGCAAGTGATAACCTGGGGGGGCAATTGCCCCCCTGTAGCGACACCACTGCCCCCTTCCCCTGACCTAGCCTACATTCTCTCCTCGGATGCACACCTTCATTGGTCCAGTGGCCATGTTTCCCCTATTTATTTACATCCAATGTTGCATGTCTTCACTGTCCTGGCCAAATCTGTACATTGTGACCTCATAGACGTCTAAGGAACCATCTTCAATTGTTTCAGGACACAGCCCAATAGTCATTAGGGTTATAATGCATTGATGCAGCCAGGATGGTGAAGACTTGTGGCGCTGGTAGTAAACAGCGGAACTGTGGTTGTCGGATTGAGGTAAGTATACATCTGTGGAGGGGCGTTAGGTTAGGTGACGGGAAGGGGGAATAAAAGGATAAATGTACTTTTGTTTTAAAGTCCACTTATTCTTTATTTCTGATAACATGCCCACCCTTATCATGAGTATGTTTCCATTTGTACCCCAGTGTGGCAGATCATTGTATATATCTGTATCTAATGATATTGCTTTGATTTGAACATTCTCAAACAGATATAGAAATTGCCCAGAAAGTCAAACTAAACTATGGTGTTAAAAGCAGACCTCTGAAAGTCGATTTATTTTTTCTAATTATTAACTTATAGAGCGAAAAGGGAGCAAGAAATGACTCAAATG